CTGCCACTTTGAAATTCTGTGTACAGCCCAGGGTCAGCTGGGGAGTGAGTCCCCAGCTGGCCTGGGCTACCTGTGGCATTTCCAAGTGGCAGCGCCACATGGAGTCCAGAGTCAGCTGGGAACCCTCCCCGCTGACCATCCGGGGCTCTGTGTGGCGCTGCCACTTTTGAACGCCGTGGAAAGCAAGGTGCCAGCAGAGAACTGCTCGAGTCCCCCGCTGGTCCCATGCTCCCCGCAGCACTTTCCCCTTTTAAGTGAAGCAACAGCCCTGGGACAAATTGTATGGACTATTTGATTAGCCAATTAATCTAAATTTATCACCCCTATTTCTAATCACACATTCTTAATCAAAGCAGTCTCATTTTCAGAGTTGGTAGCATTTAGAGACCAGTGCATCAGTAATGGAATCAATATATATGCTCTTCAAAGACTGCAACTTTCTGCGTATCACCATGAGCGGCGAGGAGTCCTGTGGCACCTCTCCGCTTTTGCGGATTCAGACTAACACGGCTACCCCTCTGATACATATCACCATGCTCACTCACGGCCAGCTTCTGTACCTTGGTTGCTGTGGCAATTTCCAAAGCAGCACTTAATCTTTGAACTTCTTCCTGTGCCTTTTCTACCTCCTCTTTTGCCTCACTTAGCTGTTGGCGCAACTTCATTACCTCCAGCTGCACAACTTTCAGTTCCTGCAAGTGTTCCTCATGCATTGCGTTCATACGCTGCTCCAAATGGGCTGCCAGACAACAAGAGAAGATTGGAAAAGCCATTATACAAAAAGAATGGAGGAAAACTACACCGGAAGGGATGAAAAAGATGGAAGATACGTGCCACCACCACAACAAACAGCGTTCTCCTTTCGGTACCTGCATGTTTGGGATTCAGCTCCTTTTCAGTCTGCAACCGGAAGAGGTTGAGTTTCAGGGTCTGCACCACGCTCTCCAAGCGGCACATTCGATTCACCAGGGAGTCACAGTTCCTCCACAGCACGGCGTTCTCACCTACAAATGAGGCTCTGGCACGGACAGGGCTCAGGGGCCGGTGGCTCGGAGGCGCCTCTCCGGGCTTTGAAGGGAAGAGATGGGGGCTGGAAGAAGAGACCACGCGGCCGTATAAAGGGCTCCGTGCGTGGGGCTGGAACGTGTCTTGCTATTGCCCCATGATGGATGCAGCTGGCATCGCCGCCAGGGACACGCCCAGACACCCGCTCGCGCAGACGCAGCGTGGGTCACGCGGACAACACCCGAAAGCCGGAGCGCCCCCCGGACACCCCGTACCTCGGCCCGCGGGCACCCAGCGCCTCCAGCTCGCTCACCAGCGCGCTGGCGGACTCCTCCACCACGCGCATGCGCCGCTGCAGCACCGCGAAGGCCTCGGGCGCGGTGGCGTTGACGCTCATGGGGGAGATGGGCGGCCTGGCCATAACCGCCCCGCTCTCGTCCGCTACCTGTGGGCGAGGCTGCCGGGTCAGGGGGTGAATGGACTCTCCCCCCCCCCACAGTGATGGGAGCTCTGGCTCTCCAGAGCCAACGCCCCCCCCCTTACCCCGTTCGCTGACACTTCCCGGCCCCGTTTCCATGGAGCTTCTCGCCCGCTTCAAACCGACCCGCGGCTCGCATCGTGCGCACGCGCCGCGGCCCCAACTCCCGATGCGCTCTGGGATTTGGAGTCCTTCCCGCAAGCAGCCCAACGGTACCCAGCCTCTCTATCTCTGGGAGCATGCGCATGCGGAGTGACCCTCGCCCCTTTGGAGCGGGGCATGCTGGGGAATGTAGTTTCGGTCTCTGTTGCTGTTCCAGCGGAGAGCGAGGCGGGGCAGCCTGGGCGAGCGGAGAGCGCCGCGTGCCCGACTCCTGGTGGCCTGCAAGGGGACTCGGTGCTTTAGTTTGCAGGTATTGTGCGTAATGCGAATGTCACAAAACGGGGGGCTTTCAGCTCCAGCTCCTAGAGCGAGGTGAGTTCCCAAGAATCTCCCTCTTTACAAAAAAAATCTATTTCTAGCCCTTCTGGGTGTAGAGAGAGAAAAACACCCTAGAACACGTGGTTCCCAAAGGCTTAAAACCTAGAGGAGAAATAACATGACAGCAGTATGCAGCCTGCCTTTTTTCAGCCTATCTCTTGGGAGTTTGGGGGGCATGTGAATGCTGGGATGGGAAAAACAAGTACCATCCCCCCCCCTCCCTGTCTTGTAATCTGTCCAGGATACTGAGGGATGTCACTCATTTAGTTCTACAGTTACCCGTCTTTCACAACAAAATGCATTTCAGAAGAAGGTGCCTCCTCCCTTGAACACCAGAAATAACGACTCACAGGGGTTCTACTATTTGCACCACATAAATTAATTCCACCACATGGTATGTGCCCTGTTTAAATAAGATTTTGCTCATAATTTTGGGCCGTAGTTACACATTTTACCCCATACTTGGGACTTCTCAGTGTAAGAGAGATGGGCTAACCCCTGCATAAAATATGGCCTCTGAACACACCCTATCAACGTAACCGTGGGTTGAAGTACAAACTAATTAGTTGCAGATTTTTATTGATATCGCATACATTTTCTGTTTAGCTATCAAGAAGACTACACTACAAGAAATATTTTGATGTCTCACATGCATTTTGAATATAAGCATTTACTTGTGCATTTCTATAACTTCTTCAGGTCCTAGGCAAATTATTATCATGGGCCATGATAGGGCACATTTGGGCACCTTGAGACACTTTGTCTTGAGCTTCCATATTTGTAAAATAGATGTAATCTTAGCGCCCACAAAAAGGTGTTATGAATTTGGAAATCTTTGGATTAAATGCATTTATAGAAGTGTGAAGAGCTATTGTATTTTTATTAATTGAATCATATCTATAGAAGGCTGCAGAGAGCAAAAAAAGAAGCAATAGTTCTAATGTGAGGACTCTAACGTATAATATCTTGCACAACTGGAAATGGTGGTCATCCATTGATAATGAAAAGAAATTTCATAAATGATATTTGTAAACATTGGCTAATAAGCTCAATTGTAACTTACAGCTCACTTAATGTAATATAATATATCCAGGTTTGTCCATATATGCATGCAGAAATACAAAATCTATGGAAATGTGGAATCCTCACTGGAGGTTTTTAACAACAGGTTAAATGAGCATCTCTCAGGGACGGGATGGCCCGAGGCGGGCTGTGGCAGCTGGATTTTTTTTTCTGATCCACAAAAGGGAGCATCATGATAGCTTGGTTGATTTTGTGTTATGACTGGAAGCTGTCAAAAGACTTACAACTGTAGCTCTCTGTGGTTGGTAATAGTTATGTTAAATATCAGTTTTATGTTAAATATCAGTTAAATGAATATTCGATTAACCTAATGAATTCTTATCGGTTGCTTGACTATTCTGTAGTACCCGAGGGTGGGGCCAGCAGCCAGCGCACTCCAGCCCCGTTCCTGAGAAGCCCTGTGCCCCTCAGTGCTGCTGCCTCTGTATCAGAGGCCACAGCGTGGGATGCCAGGCAAGAGCTGGTCCACGAGTGCGGGGCCAGTTTAAAAACCAGCTCCCTTTGTGGACCGGCTGCCTTTTGCCCTGCACTGCTGCCTCTAATACAGAGGCAGAAGTTCAGGGTGGCAGCAGCCCTTGTCCAAGGGAGCTGCCACACGCTAACGCTGCACATGGTTGCATGTACATGGACCGCAGTACAGTGTCCAGCCTGAGCGACACTTGCACTTGCCCCCCCCCCGCCCTGTGTGCGTGACAAAGTGAGACCACTCACCTGAAGATCCCTCCCAGGTGTCCAAGGAGGCCTGGGAGACGTCCTAGCTCACAGGCACCAGCCCAAAGGAGATGGTCACAGTGTCCATCTCCTCCTCCTCCTCTTCTTCCACCTCTGGCTGGCCCTGGCCCTCCTGCTCCTCCTCCCCTGAGACCTCCAGCTGGGCAATGACAGGAGTCTCCATGCTAGAGTACACGAGGACGGGTGAGGAAGATGTTTCCCCACACCCAGGATCTGGTGCAGCTTGTCGAAGTAGGGGTTGGTGTGGGGTCCTGCCTCTGAGCGCAAGCTGCGGTGTCTGGCCCGGACGTATCCCTGGCGGAGCTCTTTGACCTTACTTCAGATCTGTTCCAAGGTCCGGGCCGGGGCAGGGACGCCCCTGGGGCGCCGTACGGTGCTGCAGGGCGGGGTGCCACACGGTGCTACTGGGATGGGCGGGGGTGCTCCCGGGCACCTCAAGGGCACCGCACCGCGCCGTGCTGCTGGGCCAGGTAGGGCTGGCCTATGTGCAGGAGCACTGTTGGTACTGCAGCTTGCCACAAGGGGACACGCTGAGGTAGGGCTGCCCTCCTGCACACATGAACTAGAGATGAGGGCCCATCCTAGGAGGCTGAAGAAGAAACTTCTCTTACACAGAGATGCTGAGAGAATGGCACAAACTATTCCTCTGAAGCTTATCTACTCGCTGTCTCTTTTTTTTTCTTCCTCCCCTCCATTTTTTTTCCTTCTCTCCCCTCCGCCCCTTTCTCCTTCCCTTATTTATTCCTGGATCTGGACTTCCAGTACTCCTGTCATCTGAAGAAATGGGCTGTGCCCACGAAAGCTGGTGATAACCCCCTACATGTTTTGTTAGTCTCTACGGTGCTACTAGACTATTTGTTGTTTTTAAAATTTTTCCTGTTACAGACTAACTCTTCTACCCCTCTGAAACTCTAGGGCAGGGGTGGGCAATCATTTTTGTCAGGGGGCCACTTTAGACATTTTTGAAGGAGCCCCAAGCCATCCCAGAAGGGGATTGGTCTGGGGATTGGAGAGCCCCTTTGCCCCCCTTTCCCACTAGGCACCCATGCCTTGGAAGAGGCTTGGCGTGCTCCCCCACCCCTAGGCCCTGATTTGCCTGGGGGCAGGGGAGCGTGGGAAGCCTCCTCCCGCTCTGTGAGGAGCACGTGGCCTTTGAAGTGCCACAGGCTCCTCGCAGGGCCAGGGCAGGGTGAAGGAAGCTTCACGCAGCTCCCCTGCCCTCGGGCCCTGATTGACTATATTCGGGCCTATATTCTGCTTGACTAACTTAACTATTATTCTGACTGAAACATGGTTTTAATTAGGGTAACTTTAGCATTATAGAGTCTTGTTGGGAAGAACTGCTGTGAGCCTTTTTGAGAAACAAGGACCAAAACTCATGATATGGATGAGTTTGAGCAGGTATACACTTAGCATTCATTCCGAAACCTAGGTGAAGGGGCCAGATCCTCAGCTGGTGTAAACTGTCATTGTTCCAGTGGAAGCTCTGCCCCAGGAACCTTTCTCAGGAGGTGGTGCCACCATGTTGCTGCTGTTAGTTGTGCTATGGGGAAATATGAAAGACCATTGTAAGAGGGTCCTGTCCCCTCCCCGGGGCTCCCGGCCCCTCTTCCCTTCTTTAATCAATTACACTCCCACTTGGGATGAGTCCAGTGTCTTTAATGCTCACACCTCAGTCTCACTCTGACTTCACTGAGGCACTCGCGCCTCTTTGATCACTCCTCGCCTTACCACCTCTGGGCGGGGAGTAGGGGGACCTGGGCCCGCCCTCACATCCGGGTCCCAGCCTCCTATGGTCAGTGGGGACGCCGCCCGAAACGCACTGACCCACGTGCCAAAAGCCCTTCCCTGGGCTTCTTCCTACTCACCCTCTCACACTCCTGAGCTAACATGTCAGAACCTGAACGCACCTTGTTCCGGACTCTTCTCCCCAGATATGTTCAGCCCACTAGAACCCGGGCACTCTTCGGGCTCCATCCTCCCCCCTGCCTGGGGGGTGGCCAGTTTTAAACCTGGCACGCTTGGGGTAGCCCCACCCCCAGGGTGTGTCCCTGCCTTCTCCGCCCCAGCCCCTTGCCGTGAGAGGCGAGTTCCCCTGCGGGTACTTATGGGCGCTAGTGCGCCTGCGTCGGCGTCGGGCTGCGGTGCCATTTCCCCATCGGCCTCTCCCTCCAGCGGCGCATCTCGGGTCGCCTCTCCAATGTGCGCAGCCCTGGCGCGACCACCGCTGGCATTCCCCGGGTGAGCCAGTGTTTCTGGGTTCGCCCTGCTGCGGGGAGCTGTAGGGTTGAGGGTGCAGAGCCCACCAGCTCCGTCACAACCATGAAGTGATAGGACTGCAAGGGACATTCGTATCTAACCAGTGTAAACTTCTAAGTAAGAACCCAAGCAGAAAATATATCGAAAATGTATATTAGTGTGTTTACTATATGTAATGCTTCACTAACTTTTGCACTTAGGCCATTCTCTAATCAGACTTTGCTAATGGCAAAAGGGATGTGCTTAACCTTATACAGATGAACAGTTATACCTGGAGTGTACATATAAAAAGAGCAACTGATATCTAGGTTAAATTGAAATGAAATCCTTACATAAGCTGCTATATGGTTGACAATATTTGACAAAAGATATCTTATCCTGAAAGCAATAAACAGACCAAACAGATCCTTAGTTTAGTTTTCATCAAAAGAAATGATTGATCTGAATTTTTTATGCACATTTTTGATCTTACTTTCAAAAACTCCTGGGCAAAAGTAACTTCACATCCAAAATGCAGGCATAAAGAGCATAATTCAAGCTGTCTATGGTGTTATCTGTGTTAAACTGTGCTTCATTCTCAAAAGAAGAATCTGATCAAAGCACTTAACTGTGAGAACTGAGATAAAACAGTCTCATGTATTTTGCAGTCCCAGATATCCTTGCACAATAGAATTTTACTGTAGACTTTAAAAGAGGCTGAAACTGATTATATATTTAAAATTGCTTTTCTGCAATCAACAGATGATGATGATGCCAGAGATAATGCCCTCTGATGATAGAGGGTTGTTTTTTGTTTTTTTTTAACTAGAGTTCACAACATCCTGTCTTCACTTCACTTGTTCACTTAGGGTATGTCTACACTACCCCGCTAGTTCGAACTAGCGGGGTAACGTAGGCATACCGCACTTGCAAATGAAGCCCGGGATTTGAATTTCCCGGGCTTCATTTGCATAAACTGGGTGCCGCCATTTTTAAATCCCTGCTCGTTCGAACCCCGTGCCGCGCGGCTACACGCGGCACGAACTAGGTAGTTCGGACGAGGCTTCCTAGTCCGAACTACCGTTACTCCTCATTCCAAGAATTTTCTCTTCTTGTTCTGGTTGCCCTGCTTCAGGACACCAAAGCACTCTCTGCTATGGAGCCAGAGCTGCCTCCTGGCAGTCTTCAGCTCTTGCAGCTTTTGCTGCAAGTCATGCAGCAGTTTCTGCACGCTGCCTCCCAGGCTTTGCAGGAACCCAACCCCCAGCCCTTGTGGGAGACCCTCCTTGTGTCTCTGTGGGCACGGTTCCTGCAGCTGGATTCTACCCGCCCTGCCCTGGACACTGTGTCCCACCACTTATGGCATCTGTGCAGACTGGTGGGACCACAAAGTTTTGGAGCACTAGGGAGACCAACAATGGCTCCAGAACTTCTGAACGAAGAAGGGCACCTTCCTGGAGCTCTGTGAGTAGCTTGCCCCTGCCCTGAGGCAACGGAACATGCACATGAGACTTGCCATCCCCCTCCAGTAGCGTGTCGCCATTTCCCTCTGGAAGCTTTCCATGCTGGACAGCTACCTATCTGTGGGGAACAAGTTTGGCATGGGGAGATCGACTGTTGGGGCCCTGGTCATGCAGGTATGGTATTCTTAGGCTATTGTCCCAGGAGGGCTGTGTGGAAGGATGGAATGGGCTTCCCTAGGGAAGGTGGGGGTGGTGCAAGCCCCGTCCCTGGGAGGTTTTGTTCAGTCCTGCCCTCACAAAGCCCTGCCAGGAGTTGGGGTGATTGTAAGGGATTGCTCCTTGTGGGGGAGGAGGGGGTTTAGGAGGGAGGACTGGGGGAATTCTCAGGTGCCCTGGCAGCCCTGTGATTCTCTGTTTGTCTTCTTCTGCAGGTAGTTAAGGTGATCAATACTATCCTGCTGCACACAGTCATTCACTTTGGAGATGTGGACACCATCATTGCTGGATTTGGCACCCTGGGCTTCCCCAACTAGGGGGAGGGTATTGACGGGACCCACATCCCCATCCATGCCTGAGACCTCTGGGCATCACTTTACATCAACCACAAGGGATACTTTTCAGTGGTCCTGCAGGCCATGATGGACCACCGGGGACAGTTCACCAACATATATGTTGGGTGGTTGGGGAAGGCGCATGATGCACATGTGTTTAGGAACTTGAGTGTGTTCCAGAAGCTGCATGCCAGAACTTTCTTCCCCAAGCACACCATCCAGGTTGGAGACATAGTCATGCCCGTCTGCCTGGTGGGGGATTTGGCCTATCCCCTGCAACCGTGGCTCATGAAGCCCTACACCAGCCACCTCAACCCCTCCAGAGAACTATACAATGCCAGGCTAAGTAGGGCCTGTTTATCCTGTTTATGTTCATGTATCATTTTTTTCATCTGAGGTTATGAATATTGACTATGTATCTGTATTTCAAATGTTTGCTCCTGTGGTAGTTTACATCCCATCTAGCCAGTACCTTATAAGTGGGCATTCAAATGATGGCCCATCAACAGACACAGTGGGCCATGGAAGCAACCTACCTACAGCTAATTCACTTTCATGGTACAATTCTAGCTAGTGCATATGTAATTGTCCCTGCTATAACTCAGCAAAGCATGCAAGGGCATGTGACTAGATCATGTGTGTAGTAAGAAGAGGGTCTGTAATATAAAATCATGTATCACAGGCCTGAAATACGAGCAAGACTTTTGCTTAGTGAAACTGCAAGTAGGAAATAGGCCTGGCTAAGATGAAATAGTATGAACAGGGTCAAGTATAAAGAATGCCAAAAGATATGTAACACTTCTGCCGGGTAGTGCTGGCAGCAGCCAGGGCTGGGTTCAATAACTAGGGGTCCCTTTTCATCCATCTCACACAGAACCGGCTTGCGCCCACACCCAGTAGCCTGGGAAATTCATATACCCCTGGGTGCCTCTGAGAGGCAATGCTTCCCCACTCGCAAGCACAGCATCTGAGTGTAGAAAAGAAACTTTTAATGAAAGAGGGAGAGAAGTCACATGGCATTAACTTGGGAAAATACCACAAACAGAGTTCATAATCCCCCACGAGTAACCGTCCCAGCTCAAATGTATTCAGCAATGTCCTTTGCCTCTCAGGCTCTCTAGTCTAACAATGTAAGGGTTCCATTCACTTATTCAAACTTTCTCCATACCCCACTTCAAACGCCTCACTTACAGCTCTGTCCAGTCATGCGGACCCTGACACATCACTCTGATGACTTCACTCATTGAGCCTGAGTCCATGCCACCTTTGTGCTGCTCCTGTGGTCTGCTGGCACCACCTGCTGCTGCTCTTGCCAGCCACCCATTGGTCGTTCCCACCAGCTGCTCTGCTGGCCGCCTGCTGCCGCTCCCGCCAC